CAGGCTAGAACCTACTGCAAGTCAGTCAATGACCAGGAAGGACCCAAAGGAAGAAATTTTGCGATGTACCTCAGAAGGTTGTCGCCCTAGTGTAGCAATGTTAAAGAAGGCCTTTGAATCCCTATCTTCAAGGGCTGAAGAAACCAGAGGCTCATTAGTAGCTAAGAAGTCCTCTGTACTACAGGACAGAGACATCTTGAGAACCAGTGTACTAGCAAAATCTCAAAACATAAATGTGGATCTGACGGGCTTAGGGGCTTCAAGGACCAGTAAAAGGCCCCTAGCTCCTAGAATGTCTGTTCAAGGTCCAGGAGACGCTTGTTTGAAATCACAGGCGGTTAGTGAATTTGAGTTCAAAATGGAGTCAAAGCCAGAGAACCAGTCTCAATGCTGTCCCACAGAAATGCCTCTGCAAGACTATGCCAGTGAGGTTCTCCTCGCTGCAGATAACTTGGTTTGTCAGATCTCTCAATCACGTCCCCAGAGTATGTCCAGTGGGAACTTGCCAGTTTCCCAGGTACTGTATGACATCAAGGCAGACAAAAGGATTGCCCTGAGGCAGGAGGAAGAGTCCAAGATCCCATGCCTTCAGGACTCCTGGAAGAGCCAGAGCAAGATATTTACCGGCAGTGACAACCAAAAAGAATATAGAAGGCCCAAACCAGGAGAATGTAAAGAAAGGTTGGCAGGATTGGAGGTCTCCCAAGTTAGTGGGATAAGTCAGCTTTCCCAGGCCAAAGGAAAAGAAGACGACATGGGAATCATGTCCTCTGAGCTCCCACCAGAGAAGGAACAGGCTCCTCCAGAAAACCATTTCAGAAAAAGGATGAAGGACTTTCTTCAGTGGATTTTCCCTGACCATAAAGATAAAGGGCAGGATGATCTTCTACAAAAAGCAAAGTCTGTGCCAGCCTCTTCTCAGAGTCACGGGACAGTCAAAAGCAGATTGATCTTTACTGACAGGGGGACTACTGAGGCTCAGGAGCTCATGACAACTGTTGGCCAAATTCTAGAGGAGAAAATGGCATTTCAGGACAGACTTGATGAGTCAAAATTAAGTCAACAGGAAGAGGAAACCCAAGGAAGCCAGGCCTTGGTTGGTGGGTATTCCTGTTGCCACAGGACTCCTTTCTACTCAGAGCACAGAAGAGTGATAAATGATACAGCCTCTGATCACCAAGCTACCCCTGAGAGCCAGAGTTGTTCTATGAGGGAAAAGCAGAACAGAGACGGCCATTCCTTGAAAATGAGATTAAGTAATGAGAAGCAGCTTTGCTTGAGGCATTCCATGTTATTTTCCACCAGGGAGTCCATGTCCCCAGTCAGTTCTCAACAGCATGAGCCATGGATGAGGGGTGCCTCAGGCTGCCCTCATCACTGCCCACGGCACTGTCTTCGGGAATGTGTCTTCTCAGGTCAACTAGAACCTGCATCGGCAGCTGCCCTTAGTATGAAAACTAACCAAGAAAATACTCAGTCCATGCCAGATTAGCATGTACTTTTATGTGTGAATGGCTTCCCCCAGCCAAGCTAATTTTCTAATACATGTTTTTTTCTCTGAAGAGGGTTGTGACTTCTGTTTGAGGTGTATGAGAGGAGACATCGTCATCGTCGTCTGCTCCTGAGTGCCTGTTTTGGCTTGGAGAAGGGATGGGAACAGGGAGCTAGGAGGGAGGTTAACAGTGGTGGGGCACATTCACTGCCACCCCCAGTTCCCTTCATTATACCTGCTCAGATGTCTTTGTTTTAAAGAAGTTTGTTTTTATAATACTGTCACTGCCAAAACAAACTGTCAAAAACCTAGTGGCTAAACATGCAAGGCTTGTCAAGATGAGAAAAACCTAAAGAAAGACCCCACCCCAGGATCTGTTTCAAACTGCCATTCACAATTTTTCTCTACCTTGAAGTTTAGTTTATGCAACAACAGTTGGATGGGTTTGCAGAGGTTTAATAAGGGTGGGAATTGCCCACCCTGGCTCCAGCAAGTGTTCAAGCTGAGTAGCTTCACATGTTACAAAGTGGGCATGGGACGTGTGGGAGCCTTTTCTCTACCTGATGAAGGCTTGGGAGATGGGCTCTCTGACCCCTTGTTTGCTTAGCCAGAAAGATATGGACAGCAACACCCTTTCCCTGTCTGTCTTTCTTGCACTCTAGAGCAGCAGCAGAAAGAGCCCTAGTGGTGTAGAAGGATAAACACTGGACTGCTAACTGCAAGGCCAACAGTTCAAATCCACCAACCACTCTGAGGGAGAAAGAGTAGAAAGCCTTGGAAACCCTATATGGGGTCACAATGAGTTAGAATTGCCTCAGTGGCAGTGGGTTTTGTTTTGAGGATGGAGATTCCAGCTCTATAGCATGTGGATGGGGAGCTCCAGGGAGGCTTCTGAGGGCCATGTTTACCCCTTGCCCCAAATGAAAAGGGTATACTCTTAGTAACGTTGTACACAGGTTACCTACCTTCACTTAGGCAATTTCATGTGACTGGCACAGGGTGAGTGTGTGTTGGCTCTAGGAAAAGCCCTGATCTCCTTTCAGCTTCTGTAGACCCAGCATTTCTGAAAGGTCTCCATGTGTCTTCACACCAATCTTCCCTTGGATCTAGGAGCTTCACAATGTGGTCCAAAGGATGCACTCCACTCCCAGTTCTTTTTTGGTGGTAATGGGTTCCTCTGATCTCTGTTCATTTCTCTCTCTCTTCATCTCTTGTAAGTAAAGGATGCTGTAGGCCACATCCCAGGGAAAATCCCCTTACATCATATCAAGGCTGTGATAGAATAAGGGTGTTACATCCCACCTTTGATCCTCTTACTAGTTTATCATATGAGATCACATCATGGAAGATTGCCACATTACCTGTTTACATAACTGTCAAACGTCTAAGAATTATGGCCCAGCCAAGCTGATATGCATTTTGGCTGTTAAGTGCTGTTGGTTCCAACCCATAGTGACCCTGTATAGGATTTCCGAGGAACAATTGGTGATCTTGAACTGCCAACCTTGCAGTTCAAACAGCTTTACAGTCTGGCACATCACAATTTAATTCATATCAATAAGATTGCTCATTATTTTACCCGTTTCTCACCTCTTGAGGGGTGGAAAGATGAGTTAATAGAGGGAAAAGCTGAGACTAGGAAACTCAAGGGATGCGACTCTCAGTCTGGTGCTCTTTACACATTCATGTGCTCCCAGGAGAAAGAGAGTTCTAAAGGACTGAGGGTCACAAAGTCAAACCTGGGTCCCAGTCCTTGCTTACCCCCTGGAAATCAGACAGGATGTGTACATATAAAGAGGTTGGAAGTGGCCTCTCCAAGAGTTGTCCCAGTTCTCCTCCTGCTTCTAGCACAAGTTTTTCTTTTTTTCAGGCCCCAACCCATATATACAAAGACAGGAGAGTTCTCCCAAAGTAGGAACACTCATTTGCTAATGATTTGTGGGATCAATTGCTGCCGGAACTAATCCAGAATGTCATGGTTGTGATGCTGACTTCACCTTTCTTCTGCCTTCTAGTGTTTTCATAAGCACAATACGACCAGCAATGAAAAGGCCTCCCACAGACCTCACAGATTTTCACAAAGACCACAAAAAACTTTTCAAGGAGGCTTCCCACTGAGACTTCACTGAGTGTGACACCCCCGAAAAGACCACATACAGAGATCTCACATGGAGGCCTTATACAGAAAGCTGCTAAAGAGAAATCTCCCTGAGATACCACCCAAGAGAAACTTCCTAAAGAGAGAACACAGAGACCACACACAGACTCCTACAGACTTCATGAGCTCTCTCACACAGACTTCCCACATAGGTCTCTCACAGAACTCCCAGAGATTTTGTACAGACTTACCAGATACCTCATAAATCTCATGTATAGACTCCCACACAGACATCTCAGAAAGACTCTGAGAGACCTTAGATATTTCACAGAGACTCAGAGACACCACACAGATGTCCCACACAGATCTCCCATAGTTATACAGTCCTCTAATAGAGACCTGGCAAAGAGACCATGCAGAGACCTCACATCTGCCCTTTAAGAACCTGAACAACCACCCACTGATAGTCATTTTGAGTAGATATGAAACCAATTCACAAACAGGAGGACTCTCTGCAGTTGTGTACCCCAAAGATTCTCAAGATTCTTGGGCATTGTCAGAATTGCTCCAAATGCGCTGCACTGCTTAGGGAAATGCCCATGAAATTTGTAAATTTTATGATGATATTACTTCTGATAAAAGGAATTATGCATTGCACACATGAACATACAAAAACCATTCCTTCACAGCTTGAGATCTGAACCACAGTTTAAAGAATCATAAATTTGGAAAGGTAAAGTGTTTCCAGCATCTAATGCCCATTTATTCAATTTTAGTTATCACCCAATTTAATGGCACCAATGTCAAATGTATTATTTTGTTGGAACAAATTCCTACACTCAAGGTGACTGATTTATAAATTTTGGAAACATATAGAAAAAATGGAGTCAAATGAATCAGGAAAAATAATTCTTGATTTTTACTTAGTTCTGGCAGAGCTGTACAACTAACTTAAAGGTACAAAATTGTAATTGCTGCTTATGAATATACTTGTTCCTTAAAAATGTGGTAATATCTTAAATCACACTACAGTTATTTCAAAGATATGACAAGGTCTTTATGTCCAACTAATGTAGATTATAGTTTGGGATCATCTAGAATAAATCCTAACAATGCACATTTTCAAAAAATAACATTCTGAAGTTTTCACTCATTTTCTTTACACGGTTGTGAATCTTCTATTTAATGACCTTCATACAGTTGACAGGCCACATGAATTCAACGATGCTGTGCCATGGTTTCATGCAGCAAAATTTTCAAACTGGACAACAAAGAATACTGTTTTGTCAAAAGCTTCCATGGTCAAAGAAGTTTGGAAAATTCTTTTAAATACGCAACAACAAATACTTGTGTCTTATTTATTCATTAATTTGTGTGTGTATGGAGAAATTGTAAGAGGCTCAATGATAGACACATGTTTCACAAACTTTTCTGAACATATTGGAGTTTCAATACTTTTATTTGTGGAAAAGCATCAAGATTTTTGGGGAATAGTTTTTAAGATATTTGGAAGTTTATTAAGCAAGACAACAAATACTAAAAACATACATACACATTAACATTGACACAATGGCCACTGAGTATGCACAGTTTTTAGTCGACATTATTAGGGGAAACACCAGTGATTTTTGGTGCCATAGAATGTTGTTTTTCTCCTCAGATGCATATGCTCTTTATTCATGGAAATTCAAAAGACTCATTTGTATGACTTAGTGTTTATCCTGATGTGGCACTGTAGGATCTGCACTGAACGGCTAACCACTAACTGCTCCTTGGCAACTCTATAGAGGGTTGGCATGAGTCAGAACAGACTTAATAGGACTAAAACTACAACAGTGTTCATCTCACATATATATATATATTAATGTTTTATTGTGAATTATGTGATAGTTTACATGGGAGAACATTAGCTTTACATTCATTCTATTGTATATCGTATCCTTGCCATGGTTACAATCCCCTCGATGCATCATCAACCAACCAAAGGGTCGTCAGAGCACAGCCCCTCTCCCTCTCTGGGTCTAAAGTCCCCAGCTGCTCCATCTCTCCACGTCATTTCTGCCTCCATCTGCAGCATCACTGCTTCTCTGGGTAGGGTCCCACTCTCCACTCTTCTCCCATGGTCCCAAGGACCTCCACTCCTAGACTGCAAAGTCAATCACTCCCCTCCTTTTGCCACAAAATGTCCACCTGTATATTTCTAACCCTTACAATCAGTCCTGATAACAATTATTCACTATTGTATCAAAGAGACGCATCCTCATCTCCTTCCATCAGTCCCACATAGACAGATTGGATACTACTCAGTGGAGAGTCTACCTTCCTCCATGTTCTCTGGATCTAGGTTCCCTCTTGAAAGCCTGTAAGCCAGTCACTTCTTGCCTTTGTAGCCCGCGCGCCCCCGATTTTGGGTAGCCAATGTCCAAGTTGCCCATCCCTGTCCTCTCTGTGTATAGAGGGGGTTGGGAATGATCCTCGCTGTGAGCTCTTTTGAGTTACTGCATCCATAGGTGTAGGTCAAGTTCATCAAATTGTATTAGATTAGTCTTTTTTTCCCTCTTCTTTCTTCTAGTTGAGCTCTGATCATCCAGTCATTGAAGCCAGGTCAAGTAGGTATTATCTGCAAGTGTGGGTGTTCTTATGCATATGCCCTCTCTTCTTATCAGCTGGATGCTTCACTCTCCACTCTAGTCCTCTGTGGCTATGTCACATACTCTGGGCCCAAGAGTCCCCAGGTCTTGCCCCACTGCTGGCCAACCAGGTCTCTACCAGGTTCACAGGAGTCCACTGAACTTTGTAGGGCTTAGCTTGCAGCTTCATTGCTGTTTTTCCCTCACTTCCCCTTATCGGTGACGAACGTGGTCACCAATCAGAGTGTGCGTTCCCATTGACTCTTAGTCTT